TTGTTTGTACGGATAGTCGTGCTGCACTACTTTCTAGCTCTTGGGGGGGCAATTAGGGAAAACACACGTTAATAATTCCAATAGAGCAAGCCTCTAACTAAACCTAGAACATGTATTTTGCATGTACATGATAGGCGTGTATGGCACTTAGAGGGTTAAAACCAACTTTAACCTTTCACTTTATAAAATTGGTAGGTTTTAATCTTTAACTTTATGATATGACATTTTTAGTTTTTTATTTTACAAAATTAATAAGTTTTAACCAATCATATTACAAAATTAGTAGATTTTAACCCATCACATTATATTATGACACTTTTAACTCTTTATTTATACGAATTGAAGAAAATAGCTCTCACTTAACATTAGATTATAGTTCTGTTAGTTGACTGTCAGTTCTGTTAGTTGACTGTCAGTTCTGTTAGTTAACTGTTAGCATCTGTTAATATTCCGTTAATGGAACTAATAAATAAAATAAAATTTAAATTTCATGGTTTTTATAATAAAATGTTAATTGATGTTAACAGTCAGCTAATAAAACCAATAAAATGTTATAACTTAATATTAGGTGGTAGTTATTTTCTTCAATTCGTATAGTGAAAGGCTAAAAATGTCATAATATAAGGTGGTGGGTTAAAACCTATCAATTTTGTAAGGTGAGAGACTAAAATCTATCAAATTTGTAAGGTAAAAAGTTAAAAGTGTCATATTATAAGGTGAAATGTTAAAATTTAAGATAAGGGACTAAATGTTGGTTTTTACCCACTTTATTTGCCTAAAAACATTTAAAAGATAAAGTAAGGTCAGAAAAATAAGAGAATGTGAATGAATATATTTTTTGAGCAAAAAAATATATCCACAATTAAGTACAGTTACAATCACAACACTTCACAATAATACCAAACATATCCTATCACTCCACAATGGAAACAAACAAAGCCTAACAGAAAATTTATCTTTCTCAGAACTACAATTTCCTAACTCCTTCCTCCACCTACTGATGCTTTAAATTGATTAGGTTTCAGCCAACCACCGTTGTAGTCCACTGACAACAACTCCT